CAAAAAACCAAAAGCTTTAAAATATAGAATAAATTCTTATATTTATTTTTTGTCCCTAATGGGACGCTATTGGTAATAAATAAAAATGATAGAATACAGAAAGAGTACTGCTTACTGGTTTTATTAGATGAGAAATGGGCTGTGAAGTTGGCTGTGTCTTTGGGGTAGTGGGTATTGTGGTTAAAGGTGGGGCATTAGGTTGGGAAATTATAGGACCAGGAATCTTTACCCAAAAAATGTGATACTTCTCCACAACTGTGGCTCTGAAAAAAAGAAAAGACAAATACCATATGATATTGCATATTTAAACCTTAAATTCATTTATGATAAAATGATATGGCAGTGGGGGAACTTTAAATACACATCAGGAAGAAACAGCATACCAACTACACCGCATCATATTATTTGTCCCTCCAGTCTTAGAATCTAGGTAGATCTGTAATTAATGTTTTAGAAGCAAAAAGAAGGGGAATGAAGGGCCTATGGACTCCCTGATATAGAAAAATCTGTGCTGCTTCAGGTATAATTTTAAAAACTCCCATTTCCAATTTAAGCCTTGAGTCACTGCCCACACACTACACAGTCCAAAAGTGAAAAACATTGACAGCTGGACAAATGCAGGTCTGATCAACAATAAAAAAAAAATCAAGAGCATTTTCACTATTGTATTCCTCCAAGTCTAGGTGCATGTAGGTGGAGAAAGGTATAAGTAATAGGCCCCAACTCAAAGCACAGATGTTACTGATGTTTTCCCCTGCCTCCAACAGGCAGTAGAATCAATGGCTGCCTATATCTGTGTTTGGGGGTAGGGTGTTCCAGGAGGGCCACTCTAATTAAAATGTCTCACCATCATGTGTATTAAGCCCCCACGCATTTAAAAGTGGCCATGGGATGCTTCATCTAAACCTCATTCAACAAGGTTTAGATAGAGTGCCTCTGCAGCCTCTTAAAAAAAAAAAAAAACCACACACAGGCTTATAACCGTGACAGTGAGGCCATGCTGAAATGTTCCAATTAGAATGCAGAGCAAACTGGATTAACTGAATCTGCTCTGATGCATTCCAATTAGAAGATGAACCAGCATGTGTACAGGCAGCCAATGTTAATATACAAGTTGGAGTGGGTAGACAAGGCAGAAAACTCTACAGTAGATTCCCTTCTACTCACCCCCACCTTCCTGCAAGACATTTACCAGTAAATGACCAATTTGTGTGACAGTGTACTGATTTGATTAGTCTAGCTTGGGTCTCTAATAAAATAAACAAGCATGAGATTAGATTGACTTACAGAAATTGTACGTGTTTTGGTGCATTTGGGGAAGCAATCCAGTAAGCTTCTAAATGGTTCTTTTTTGATTTGTGTGTGTGACTGACAGCTGAGTTCTGAAACAGATACAAACAGAATCACTCTGAAAACCGGCATTTAGAAATACTCATCGTGCATTGATGGAACTATTGCACAAGCTACAAACTGCATCTATTTTTGCACAATACTATAGAGATCCAGTTCAACTGAGTCGTGAACAAATAGGTCCAAATTCTATCCCACTTATTAGGTGCCTAAAGTAGTACTTGGGTGCAATTCTATTCCACCCTCCAAGTCCCTGAAAATCCACATTGCATCATTTTATAACACATTGTCAGACCCTTAAGACTGAGCCACAAAAGTAAGCAGCAAGAAGGACCCATCCATCTTTTCTACCAAATGTTTTTCAGGGACCCAGACATGGTAGATTATAACCAGACTTAGGGTAGAAACAGAAGTCACCTGACATCTCATCTGTAATACCATAAAAAAATTTTATGACAGTAAAAATGCTGACCAAACAGACATTGATACCCTCTGTTGTGCCACATGGATGGGGGGAGGAGGCAGTGTTGCAACAAAAGCTAGTAATAGACTCTGTACTTTTATTGCAGCAGACATCTGTTACCTTCGTGCCACTTT